TGGGTAGACTATTCCAAATAACCACACTGACATTTGATTTCATTGTCATTCATATTATATAGCCGAGGCAGATAATACCTCACAGATTTAATGTTGTGGGTTGTGTGTGACAGATTGCAATTCTACACTCTATATGAGCTCTGAAATGTGAAGTTACTGCTATATTCTCTATGATGGTGACAAATATCTTTTTCATTATTTTAATGTTACTGTTATTTTAGTTAACATTTCACATTAAAATAAGCATTAATTTCAGACAAGGTCTTCCTTCTTGCCAGCTTCTGTACTCAGTTGATTGACAATCATTTTGATTTTGACTGATATGAAATAATAAAGAATAAAACATGGGGAATTAAGTCTTTGGGAATGTGGTGGCCGACAAATCTGAAGAATGTATTCTCTAAAACAACAATCTAAAAACTGCTGATGATCAACAACTTGATTTACATTTGTTAACAACTAATGTGTCCACCATTCACACACTATTTCACTAAAATTGCATGACAAAATCAGTGCAACATAAAATAGCAGATCAATTTGTAACATATATTCTCGCAATGGTTAATAACTTGGGCTGATTTGGAGAAAAAACAATGTGCAATGTATAAGAACTCATGCTGGTTGGTACATCTCTTCTTTATCTGTCACCATGGCAACAGAGTGAAGACTATTTGTTTATTTTCTTTTTAATGTTGATTGTTGTTGCTACATTAACATCTCCAACAGCAATAACTGTCAGGTTTAATCCATCATCAAGAATAGTCAAGTTCACTCCAGGTTGTGTGATATTTTTCATATATTTTGGCAAATCAACATGACCTGAATCATGATTTTGACTTGATTTACTTTGTAGTTACTCTGTAATTTCCCAGTTAGTTTTATTTAATCACACACATAACTCCTAGTACTGGGTGATTTCCGCTGAAAAACGTCTCTCCTTGCACCACTTAAAATTTTTTTAACTGATATCTTGACTCTAGAATGCATGTTACCACATGCAAATATGTAGATATGCAAACAAACATATGCACCCAAACACATATTCACTCACACTAAAGTCATTAATGAACCTCACTCTAGAACACTTAAATGTACATTTGTGTATGTTGGAACCATTTTAAGTGGCACAAAAAATGCAAGGTGCATGCAGGTATACTGATGGTGAACAGCTAATTGTGTGAAACCTAAAACACTTTCAATGCCACAAAGTCCTATTTAGTGGTTAAGTGAAGCATTGGGGTGTGTGCAGGTGAAACGAATAGTGGAAGGACTACACAGTAGTTTTATTCAGAGGTGCTTTGGATTACAGCCCTGGGACTACACAGTAGTTTAGCAGTAGTTTAGCTCAGGGAAGAAACAGGATATATGCAGGGCTACACAGTGGTTTCATTTTTCCATGGCCCTGTCCTAATGTTACCTGTGGAATCAGGGCTGAACATATAGTCCTCATGCAGGCTGCTATGGTGGCTCAGCGTCCCTCTCTGGCTGAGAGTATCCTTCCTGCTGAGAGTAGCCTGAGAGCTTGGCACAGTGACCCGTGGAGGAGGGATATCCAAGTGCAACATAATGTTCTCCTCTTTATCTGTCATTTTGGTGCTGCTGTGTATCAGTGAATCTGTGCTGGTATCTTCTCCCTGGGAAGCACCAGAAAAAGGATCTGTTTTGGGACAGCAAATGCTGGAGAAAGGTTCTGGCTTGGCACAGCATATGTGTCTATGGTAGGTGTGTCCCTCGTGATAAGGCAGCTGGCTGTCCAGGTGTGTTCTGTGGCTTTCCATGTGGATGCTAGGGCTGGTGCAGCGCAGCTGGTTGTCCAGATGTGGGGTATGGCAGGAGAGCTGGCTCTCCAAGTGTGAGGTATGACAAGTGATGGGATTTTCTAAGTGCATGCTGTGAGGGCTGTCCAGGTGAGAGCTGTGCACACTTCCATCCAAGCTGGTTGAAGCCATGTGTAATGTGTAGTCCCTGAGGGAGGGCCGTGGCCGACTGAATGAGCGTGACTTAGTCCTGTCCTTCAGGCAGCTCTGCAGGGGCATGGAGGAGTGGGGTAACTCATCAGGGAGAGACAGAGAATGAGCAGAGACTTCTAGCACTGGAGAAGAGCTATACAAAGTGGAGCAGCATGGGCTCATGGGGATCTGAGCTGTGGGCAGGGAGCTTGGATTACAGTGTGGTGAGGATGAGAGAAGGTGGGGGGAGAGTAAAAGTTTACCTGCATAAGGTTGCTTTACCTCAAGGTGACTTTTAATTTCATTACTTCCTGCTGCCTCTCCATTCACATCCACTTTCAGTTTAGAAGGACAGCATGCCCACCAGCGGTGCCACACATCATCCCGTTTTGCACAGTGCTGAATAAGCAGAAAGAGTCCCAGTGTGACTGAAAATGCCCCATATAAGCAGCTAAATATCATGTCCAGATAATGGCCCTGTGACACAGCCAATGCCCCGAAGGCCCATGTAGCCAAGAAGAGTAAGACAGTGAAAGCAGTGGCCCGCAGTTGAGCTTTGAAGGAGTGCTCATTGGCGAGCATGGATGCAGTGATGGCCATGCAACCTGAATGGTCCCCCTGTTCTCCAGGTTCTCCACTAGCAGCATGGCAGTGGCCGATTTCTGCAGCGGCCAGACGTTGCTGCTCCTCTGTCATGGCCTTTAGTTCATACTTACGTTCTGGGTGGCGCTTCAACTGCACAAATGTGCACAGGAAATACATACACATGACCAGCACCAGGAATACAGTGGGTCCATAGAAGCCTCCCAGACTGGGCTCCCATGCCATCCAACAACTTCAGAAGAGGAAAAGAGACAGAGACAGAGTGAGAGAAAATCATCAACCTATTTAGTAATGTCATTACTGTTTTCCTTAATTAAATCACAAACCACATGGTAACTTGTTTTTATTAATTAAGACATGTCGCTGTAATTCAGTGATGCTTGCATGAAGCCATTTCCTGCCTCACTGCAAATTATACTAATGCTAAACACAACACAAAATATCAGGGCTGCTGAGCTGAGAGACCCACAAAAACAACTGAAGATTTTGTCTGTGTTTTCTGCATGCACCTTTGCCCACTGTTTCACTTCCAGTCGTGATGACTGTTTTGAACAAATTACTCAAAGCAGACAATTGAAATGTGGAGTGAAAGGGAGGCAAGAAGAGCATGTACTCACTAAAGGGCATCATCTCTGCTCCCATAGTTATCCAGGCTAATGCCAGCTGTGACCCCAACAATGACAATAGGGATCCCACTACTGAACAGATAAAATCTGAAAACAGGACCAGAAAGACAGAATTAGAGATAACAATGCAAAGAAAAACACTATATGGATAAAAGTTTGTGGGCACCTGACAATTATACCCATGTGGTACCCCACCCCCTTCTCCACGTTATACTATCTACTGTATCTTCTCTGTGATTTTTCATCCATAATTGAATCACAGCCTGATAAAGTCATAAGAACATGCACTTTTAGTGCAGGTCAAATACAGTTATGAGAAATAAATGTCAAATAATAGCCTCAATAAATTTGATTAAAATATCACATTATTACAACTATTTGCAGATCAGCAATTAGTAACTCATGAGCACAATGTCATGAAACACTATTTGGCCAGTTACCTGAATATGGTGAATTTGGGATGGTGCTGTATGGGTGGTTCCCTGTCCTGAGGGAGTGGCGGAGCCTTGGAGACTTCACTACAAGTATTCCTGGCAGTGAGCACCAGCCAAAGCATGGTGGAGAGAGAAGAGTAGTGCAAAATGATGCCAACCTTAAAGCAAAACACAAAGTCACTAAGCACAAATGGCAGCCAGGGCACTAAGATGATTATATATTCACTGTGCAGCTCTGCTGTGAGCAGACAGCACCCTATGAGCATAAAACCCAGTGTAGAACAGTGTTTGATAAAGGATACACTGAGTGGATTGCTTGAGGTAATCCTTCTTAGCCAGCTGGGCCATACAGGTATCCTCCTTGCCTCTGTGGACACAGTACTAAAGAGAACAAGTCCACTACTCTTCCGCTTGTAATGAATGCATAAATACTCTGGTGACTGCTGACCGTCAATACACAGACAGGTACACAATATGGCTAGAAAATGTTATAGGACTGCTGCTGCCTGTTTTACACGATGATTTTAATTAAAAATGGGAAATGCCGGGTATATACTCGGCATCTCAAAACCCAAAAAATTCAAACAAAAACCAGCCACAATGTACAACATTATAATACACATATTTAGACAATAAAGAACACAAAACATAATACAACAGTTATATAAAACATATCACCAGTGGGTTTTCTGAAAGGTAGCTGATGCTAGCTGATGCCAAAGCCAGACCCTCAAAACCATATCTAGGTTATATACCGATATGGCTTATACCAATAAGCCATAACTTATTGACAGGTGACATGAATAACACTGTTTATCTCGTTACAATGGCACCTGTCAAGGGGTGGGATATATTATTCTGCAAGTATCCAGTCAGTACTCAAAGTTGATTTGTTGGAAACAGGAGAAATGGTTAAGCATAAGGATCTGAGCGACTTTGACAAGGGTAAAATTGTGATGGCTAGATCACTGGGTCAGAGAATCTCCAAAACAGCAGGTCTTGTGGGGTGTTCCCAGTATGCAGAGGTTAGTACCTACCAAAAGTGGGCCAAGGAAGGACAGGGTCATGGGCGCCCATGGCTCATTGATCCATGTGTGGAGTGAAAGCTAACTTGTCTAGTCCAATCCAACAGAAGAAATACTGTAGCACAAATTGCTGAAAAGACTTACGCTGGCTATGACAGAAAGGTGTCAGAACACACAGTGCTGTGTAGCTGCAGATCCATCAGAATGCCCATGCTGGACCCCTGTCCACCTCTGAAAGCAGCTACAATGGGCATGTGAGCATCAAAACTGAACCATGGAACAATGGAAGAAGGTGGCCTGGTCTGATGCATCATGTTTTCTTTCATATCATTGGACTGTGGGAATATGGGATACATGTGGGCAGTGGTAGTGGTAGTGGTTAAGATGTTGGGCTACTGATCGGAAGGTCATGAGTTCAAACCTCAGCACCACCAATCTGCTACTGTTGGACCTTTGAGCAAGGTCCTTAACCCTCAACTGCTCAGATGTATAAATGAGATAAATATAACGCTCTGGATAAGCGCATCTGCCAGATGCCATAAATGTAATGAGAAATTGGCAAGCCAGCAGAGGCAGTGTGATCCTCTGGGCAATGTTCCACTGGGAAACCTTGTGTCCTGGCATTCATGTTACTTTGACACATACCAGCTACCTACCATCTACCCAAACATTGTTGCAGACCAAGTACACCCCTTCATGGAAACGGTATTCCCTATTCAGTAGGATAATGTGCCCTGTCACACTGCAAAAATTGTTCAGGAATGGTTTGAGGAACAAGACAGAGTTCAAGGTGGTGTTTTGGTCTTCAAAGTCCCCAGATGTCAATCTGATTGAGCATGTGTAGGATGTCTGATCAATGGAGGACCCCACCTTGCAACTTACCAAACTGAAAGGATCTGTTGCTAACATCTTAGTGCCAGATACCTTCAGACCTCCATGGGTCAGAGCTGTTTTGGTGGCACAAGGAGGACCTGTAGAATATTAGGCCGGTGGTTTTAATGTTATGGCTGGTGTAGTCCAGGACCCCAAAGCAAAACAAAACAAAACAACACCAAATCCAAAGGGGCAACAAACAGAGAAGAGCAGAACCCTGAAGAACAAAGAAAGGACCATACATGGGACCACAGGATACAGTACGACACAAACAAAAAGTAAATGACACTAGATGAGCAACAGGTGAGATACCATCAGTATGCAGGGCCATTTAAGCTATTGAAACTGGAAGGTAGGTGTGTTTGCCCACTAAGGATTCTGGGAAATGTAGTTCACTGAAGACACTGGACAGTGGATTTGAAAGCATTTCAAAAGCATTTGCATTCTACCTCAGGTATAAAATGTGGTGAAAAAACAGAGAAAAATGTAACACAGTACAAATACATCTCTGTCGTTACATATTTACTTAACTAAGATTAAGCAGTATTCTTCATTAAATCCACCACTGAATCAATATATTTTACACAAAACTTGGGACTGACAATTCTGACTAAGACGTGTGTCCACTTTTCAGTGCCAGTTCTTCTTCACTTACATTCTAACTCACGCTGTTTTTACTAAGCTTAGCTTAAGAGCACTTGCTTTTTTTTTCAGTCTGGTGACATTTCTGGCTGTTCACATGTATATATATATTTTCTCTGCAGTCCTACTCTAATGATGTCACCTGAATGCACATATGTGTGAAGCACAAGACAGTACTGCCTTTAAATATTTATATACACTATACGGCCAAATGTTTGTGGACACTTGACCATAACACTCATATATGCGCTTTTAGAACATCTCATTCCAGATTTAGTTCCCCCTTTTGCTGTTATATTAAGCTCTTCTGGGAAGGCTTTCCACTAAATTTTGGAGTGTGGCTGTGGGGATTTGCCCATTCACCCACAAGCACATTTGTGAGGTCAATGGGGCCCGGGGAGCACTCGATGTTCCAATTTATCTAAAAAGTATTCAGTGGGGTTCCACTTCCACTAACCTAGGCAAACCATGTCTTCATGGAACTCACTTTGTGCACAGGGGCATTGTCATACTGGAACAGGTTTGGGCCTCTTAGTTCCAGTGAAAAGAAATTGTAGTGCTACAGCATACAAATACATCCTACGCACTTGTGTGCGTCCAACTTTGAGGCAACAAATATAGCAAAGAAACCCTGAAGTAATCTGAAGTGGCACAGAGCTGGAATGGTGTGGGATGAAACTCACCAGTTGACAGATGATGGGGTACTTGATTTGATTGATGCCTCCTGCAAACACCCCAAACGTCATGGCAGTGTGGAAGAGGACGTTCAGTAGTATGTGCCATCCTTTCTTGCTGATTCGGATTACACTTCACCCAGACAGACACCCAATAAAAAAATCACAGTTTAGACAAATGTTACTCACTGGGCTCAGCTCTGACAGTCAGTGCCAAAATATTAAGATTTTGAGGCATACTCTCAGTTACCCTACTCTCAGTTACCCTACTACTACTACTACCATTATCAGTGGCATAGTCAGGAAGGACATATGCTAAATAAACATGTACAATTAAACTGATAAGTCCAATGTGCTTGAACATTTTGGATTGCCAGCAGTCTTGCAATATAATTGCAATTATATTATAATTACTACAATGTTAGGAGGCACAGGAAATAAAAGACCTTTCCCAGAAAGTTTTTACAATAACATACTACCAATGTAAGCACCTTAACCAGATCTAGTGAGAAAAATGTACTATTCCAGTTGGTTAATACTGTTACTTACCATAGCAGCTGCTAGCCAATGAAATGTGATTAAAGCACTTGTTTACTGTTCACCTTTTATAAACATCATTACAGCCCTAATAATGAGCAAAACAATAACTCACAGTTATATAATCAGCTGCACGGTATGTGTGCTATGTTAACCACCCACAAATAAGCATTTGGATCACATACATATTTCAAGTAGAGGATTCAATCAACCACAACTACACCTCTACAATGGTCATGTAGAAAAACATCAACATTTGAAATTACAAGGAAAAACTGTCCTGTATTTAACATTATTAAAAATAATAATCTATAGTCTAGTTTAGAAGAACATGCTTTTCTAACTTTGTAATTAGACAACAACATTGAACACATACCTGTGGTGTATAATGTACGTCAATATTGATATCAGCAGGCAGAGCAACATAACTGCTGTGCATGCATAAACAACGGGATGGAGATAGTCTCCTGGATATGGAGGGAATGACAGCACCCTCTTTAAATCCTGCAAAATAATAAGAGATATATAGACAATTCATAAAAAGTCTTATCAACAACATTAATAACTGCACATATTGTGTGTATTAGGTCTATATGGGAAGCATGAAATATAAGGCATAGAGAACAAGCTAGAGGCTAAGAGATAATATGCAACTTTGTCCCTGTCAGGCAAAACAACACCCCCACATATAGTTCTCTCCCAGTGTGTCTGTTTCATCACCAAGCTTGTTTCACACTTCACCTTTAATCTCTAAACTTTCCAAAAAGCCTATTCAGAAATGTTGGGGTAATATATCTTCTGTTTATTAACCACACCTCTTGCTCTTGCTTTGTGAATTTTGTGTGCATTATGAGTCATGCAGGTAAAGATGGGAGGAAAAGGCCACCAGAATGTGCAGTTGGAATGCAAAGCTATAGTGTGCAGGAACCATAATCTACATCTTAAAATTAAAATGGCAAATCATTAAAATGTGATTTGTGAGAAGGAAAAGCACAATAGTGCACTATTATTATGTTTGTATCTAACTGAATGTACAAATAAAGCTGAGTGAATCAGTGGGAGCCATGTTCTCGTTAGGGGAACTTTGACAGGGCATTCTGCTCACCTGAACTCAGAAATGTGCAATGTAAGCTATATATGCCATTTCAAGGACTATAATGAATTATGATATTCTGCCATGAAAAATATGGAGGGCAAGATGACAGCAAATATCTAGTTGACTTATAGTGAAACCTGAGGCTAGAGCTAGGAGCAGAAATGGTCACATGCTTTAAGTCCAATTTGGAACATAGTCTGTGTGAATGTGCAATTTCAAATCATGTTTTAAAAATATCAAGAGGCTGTTAAACACTGAGTGGACATCACATCATAAAATTCTTTCTTAAAAATCTTTTTTTTTTTAAATGTTATTATACAATTGTTCAGTATTTTATAGAATTTCTGATGAAAAACTGTAGCAGCTTCATCTTTAATCACAGTCAAAGCTAGTGGGAATCTGTCCCTCAAAGCTAGGGATAGCCTCCTCCCATTCCTTTCTGCCGCAGTGTGTGTTATGTTCTATATAATAATTTTTCTTAGAACCCTATGTAGCTTTGCAGTGTCCTTTAGCCTCAAGTCAGCTTGCCCTAAGTTAGAATTAGTGTCCTGAATTTAGCTAGTCACTCAACACTCACTATTTGCTACATTTATTTATCTTTATGGGCTATGCCTGTTCTGGTTAGTTTTATTCACCAGATAGCTAATGACACTTACTGTTCACACACTTCGCACCGAGTTGGTTCCTCCCGCTCAATTTTTTCCTCACCATCAAATATTACCCATTCTTCACCAATTAACCAACTGGTAAGCCAATGACTAGTGCATTGCTGGTGTGGCTGAGTGGTGTTCTCTTAACATACCATGCACTGTTCAGTGCAGAGCCTGCTAACTTCTAAATATTCCCTCCATGCTATGTACCCTTTTATTCTATACTTGAGTTGTATTGACCACATAGTTTACATTATACTGAGGGAGTAGCCACAAATAACCATGCTGTAAGATCTGCATCCAGTTTCTGAATGTGCTCATTGCCTAGCAGCATATATAGCTTAGCTAAACTCAATGATCTAGGAGCTAAGACTTTAGTGCACCGTATAAACCAGGGAGCATCAATGTTCATTATGTTCCCCTACAGGAAATGACGTGTTTTTTGAAGCCTCTCAGCTCAAAAATTGGTGGACGATCTCTCAGCCAACTTTGCCTACAAATGTAAGTAGCTTGCTATTTTTGTTGTTGCTCTCAAATGAGTACTTACATTAGCAATTTTTTTTTACTTTATTTCACGTTCTATCTACTTTTTGTTTGAGTCTGCTTTTAAGTATTTAATGATTTTTTTTTCTATCCATTAGGCTGCCTATGATCCTGCTCAACATATTATGACAGAAATACATGTGATTACGCTAACAAATTTATATTACAAATAAAACTGTAATATTTTTAAGCTTTTAAATTTTGAAATGCGAGTACATAATCGTGTCTCTGGAAATTCAGTTATCAGTGTCCCAGTGTGTAGTGAGCCAGGGTCCTTACCACTGCCTGAACTCATGTACACGATATACTGATTCACTACCTACTGAACTAGGGAGCTGGTTGAGATATGCTCATGTTCATGCTGGTTGAGATATGCTCATGTTATATTCATTTATCATGAATATAAGAGGCAGCAGTG